GCTGAACAGAGTCAGCGTTTGATGATCTTGCCTTTTGGTCCTTTCTTCCCCCACCCCCCACCACCAGCAATTAGCATAGTTTCTTTTAAATTCGCAACAGCTCATTAACCTTTATTCTAAAAACCAAGCTCCAAGCAACTCCAGCAAAGGGCTAGGTCTTAGGAGCAGCATCGTCTCCCTTTTCCAGGTGCTGGTTCCCCATCAGTCCCTTTTAGAACTATTGTGGGTCTGCTGTAAATTCTACTCCCTCATTCACAAACGCATGGAGCCCATTGTAGTTGCGAAACGTCTTCTGCAAGGGAACGGCTGGACCAGGTTCTGTCCAGACCCTTATGCAAGAAGCTCGGAGATAGAAAATCGATACAAGCCTCGATGTGAGACTGAAACCGTTTATTTTTGCCCTCTTTTCAACCATACCACAAATATTTACGGAGCGCCTGCAGCGCGTCAGGCACTGTCCCGGCTCTGGCATTTAGGGCTGCGTAAAAGTAGACTGGGTCTGTTGATTATCCTTTGTCTTCCAGACATTTATCAGGAAGTTTTGCCTGTGGCTCCAGGTGTCCTCGGGAGAGTCACCCGCTTCCTGTTGTGGAGATCAACAGCAATGGTTTCCTGGCCACCTGCAGGTCCTGTTTACTGGAAGTCTGCCCTCCCCGACTTTGCTCCCTCTATCCTGCCAGCAGTTTTCCAATTCCCTATGTTAAATGTCTACCCACTTCGGGAAGAAAGGCTGTGTGGCAGAAAGGCCCTATGAGGTCATCAAACTCCATCTCATTTTCGTCCTAGGCATGTGGCAGGTTGGCGTTTCCCAGGGTCCCAGCGTTAGGTAAATGCGTGCTGGCCCACGGGAGGTATTTCTGGGCCCGGCCCTTAGTTCTCCTCCCTGCCTTCCTCTGTGAGCATCCTCTTCCTCCATCCCCTGGCAAGGTTCAGAGAGTGCAGAGGAGGGTGGAGCAGTGTGAGGTCCCAGGGGATGGCAGACCGTTAGACGGAAGGAAAATGGCTCCCATGATCACCACACGGTCTGGCTGTTCACCAAACACCTGAACGTCTGTGTTGTAAGGGGGAAATAAACGTTTATTCGATCAAGACGTGGGATGTGGGGATCATCTGTAATGGCAGCTAGCATCACTCACCCTAACTAATACATTCAGGAAATCAAAAAGGGTTCAGTATTTATTCTTGTGTAAACCCTCCTTCTGCTTGTGCTTTTGTATGATTTCCAGGTGAGTAAGGGAAACAAACAGCAAACTTACACCGCCGTGTTCATGCCATAACTTCTGCACCTGGATTTTCCTGTCATACGAAAGGTTTAATGTTTATGTACCTGAGTGGCAACAAGCTTTCCACTTCCTCTCATGTAATCGATCTATTTGTATTTTCCACTTTGCTGAAATTCACATGTTTATATTTTGACACGGAAATCCTCCGTTTTCTTTTTTTTCGTTTCCTAGATTGGGACCCGAGCTAACATCTGTTGCCAATCCTTTTTTTCTTTTTCTTCTTCTTCTCCTCCTCCCCAAAGCCCCCTAGGCTATAGTTGTATGTTCCAGTTGTAGGTCCTTCCGGCTGTGCCATGTGGGACGCCTCCTCAACGTGGCCTGATGAGCAATGCCATGTCCACGCCCAGGATCCAGACCGGTGAGACCCTGGGCCGCTGAAGCAGAGCACGAGAACTTAACTGCTTGGCCCCTCCATTTTCAAAATTATTGCCATACCGTTTCATGTACTCTAAAAGGATCTTTCTAAGCATGATAAGAGAATAAATGACAGATTTCACTGCATAAAATTAGAAACAGAAAAACATCATAAACAAAGTTAAAAGGCAAACAACTAGAGAAACATAGCCTCACAAATAGTTTTGAAGTCAATGCAAAAAGATAAACAAAAATGGGGGCTGGCCCGGTGGTGTAGCAGTTAAGTGGCACGTTCTGCTTCGGTGGCCCAGGGGTCGCTGGTTCGGATCCTGGTGTGGACATGGCACCGCTTGGCAAGCCATGCTGTGATAAGCGTCCCACATATAAAGTGGAGGAAGGTGGGCACGGATGTTAGCTCAGGGCCAGTCTTCCTCAGCAAAAAGAGGAGGATTGGTGGCAGATGTTAGCTCAGGGCTAATCTTCCTCAAAAAATAAAAAAGATAAAAACAGAAAAATACAAAAAGAGTGTGAACACACAAAATAAATTCACATGAATTCACAAGAGAAGAAACTCAACCAATTAAACATGAAAAATATTCTACTTCATTGGATTTAAAGAAATGCAAGCTAAAACAAGACCAAGACATCATTTAAAGAAGACACAAAAGCTGGCCAAATTCAACATTCATAATGATAATATTCAGTGTTGGTGAGAGTACTGGAAACAACATTTTTAGGGTCTAGTTTGGGTAGGAGTGTAAATTGATAGAATTTTTCTAAGGGTAACTTGTTAATATGTATCAAAAGCTGAAGATATTTTTGTTTCACCTATCAATTCTGCATTTAGAGACTTATTCCACAGAAATAATTGAGAATCATGAAAAGATTTAGGGAAAACCAGAGGCAATGTAGATGTCTGACAATGGAGGATTGGTTAACTTCACGATAGCAGGTACAAACCACAGAAAAATGAAATATTCCATAATCACTGACGATTACATCATCAAATTACATTTATTGACATGGAAAATTATTGAGGGGAAAGAACAGGTTCCGAAGGGTGTATCTCATATGCTCCCATTTAAACACGCACACGCACACACTCACACGTACACACACGCATACACATACACACTCACAGACCCTGTGTTGGATCCAGGTTTTGTGGGGCTACTGCAACTTTGAGGGTTTTCTTCAAGAAAAGAAATGCAAAATTATGGATACAATTTAGGTTCCAGTGTGAATCTATGTTAGGATGAGAAGGGAAATCATAGCAAACTACAAATTTTTGAAAGCTGTATATACCACAAACACCACAAAACTCCCGAAGTCTTATGTGATGCCTGGCACCGCTCTGTCCTGGAGGTGAGGGACCCTGAAGCTTAAGCTTCACTAGCATGGGACAAAAGTCAGGATGGCAACATACCAAAATGAACACACCTGACGTGTAATTACAAAAATAAAGGCTACTTTAAAAATCAGTAGGTCTCAGCAGTTGGTAGACTTCTTTTCCGTTGTCATAAAATAAATCTTACCCCAGCACAGATTTGTAACCCAGCTACCCGTTACGCAACGGGGTGAGGGTTCCCGCGAGTCTGTCACTGTTTGGTCTGTGGGAGCCAGACAGGAGGCAGGATGACCGTGCACAGTGAGGAGAGCTGTCTTTGTTGCTGGCAATGTTGGCATTGCTCAAGAGAAGAGGCCCTGGAAGACCCTTCCTTGCATAACAGCTCCACCCCCAACCTCTGCTTAGGAGTTTTGTGACCTAGGGAAAGCCACTTACCCTCACCCAGGCTGAGCTTCCTTCCCCGGGGACGAGGATGGGATCTCCCTAAGGGACTGAAGGAGGACTAACATGCTAACACACCCAGAGGGTTTGGCTCAGCATCTGGCACAGAGGAAGGATCTCAGCTTCCTCTGCAGGTGCAGAAACTCAGAGCAGAGAGAGGGCAAGTAACTGCGCAGTGTCGCGGCACTGGTCTGGGGGCAGAGCCGGCAAAGCGCCCAGGTGTCCCCCAGTCTGCGTTCTCTCGCTGCCCTTCCCAGACTGGTGGCAGGGATGCCCAGCTCGTGCACCAGAGTCAGTGGCTTTACTGGGAGGGAGTCCTGTGTCGCGTAGTCAGAGTATAAGCACAAGGACATAAGCAAGAGGGATCAAGAATTGAACTAAATTTAGACTCTGGGGTGCGGAAGCCCTTCCAAGGCTTCGGGCTGCCGTGGCGGCGATGCGAACCAGGAGGGGCTGGCTGCCGTAACAGACAGCCCTGCGGCTCAGTAGCTTCACACGACAGACCTGCACACCTTGATCACGCAGCATCGGACAGAGGCTCCTGGCTGGTCCCCTCCTGGGCAGCTCACCTCCCAGAGTGACTCAGGGATCAGACCCTGGCATGGTGAGGCTGGCTGTCTGTTGCTCCTGAACAGAACGCTGGCCTTTGGCAGAGCCAGAATTCAAATCCAGGTCTCACTGACTCAGGGTTTTCAGCCTCAGCGCTATTGGCATGTCAGACCAGGTGACTCTCTGTTGTGGGGCCGTCCTGTGCATTGCAGGGTGTGTAGCAACATCCCTGGCCTCTACCCACCAGAGGTACTAGCCCCTGGCCCTCACCAAGTTGTAACAACCAGAAATGCAGAAATGTCTCCAGACGTTGCCAGATGTCTCCTGGGGGTAAAATCTTCCTGCCTGAGAACCACTACTCTGGCCCCGGAGTGGATGGCAGACATCATTATGACCATGCACGTAGGACTCCTTTGTTGGGGAAGGTTCCAAACCCTGGCATCGATCTCTAACCTAATCTGGAAAGGTAGGTGAGCTCCATTTTCCTGCTTTACGATGAGAAGGACAAAGCCTGTTCATTCATTCTTTCTCTCAATAGACAATGGCTGAGCACTGACTGAATACCTAACCCTGATGTGGCCTCTGGGGATAAAGCACAGAACACAAAAATTTCCATCCTCCCAGAGACCTGCGGTAGGGGAGGAGTCAAGCCCAGCTGATGTCTGAGGGAAGAATGTTGGCAGACAACAGCCAGTGCAAAGGCCCTGGGGCCTCCTTGGAAGGCTAAGGAGCAGCAAGTGTGGCCAGAGTGGAACTAGGGGCAGTGATGAGGTCAGAGGGCAGTTGGAAGGAATAGTGTGTGGGATGTCTGTGGTGACTTACCCAAGACCATTTCTAGTAGCAGTGCCAGGATGCCAGCTCGAAATTCGAAGCTCCCATTTCTAGCTAGGTCAGGTTGCATCAGCCATTTTTTCCTCTGCATGGGCGCTGTCTAGAGTCCTCACCTGAGCCTGTGACTCACCTGGGCTGGGCCAATGCTTGTGGGAGTTGAGGAGGGCAGGCTGTCCTATGTAAGTGGAGGTCTGTGGGCCTTGAACTGTGTCCTAAGTGGCCTGTGCTGAGCACGGCCTTCTCTCAGCCTCTTCCGTGGTGGAAGCAGCACGATGGTGCTCCCTCTGCTGCTCCTGGTCCTCCCTGGGGCAGCCTGCATGTTCTCCCTGGGGGTTGGGCTGTGGGTCGTCTGCAGCCAGCTCCTCACTGCTGACATCCCTGCGGCGGTCGGCCACCGCGTGAAGCTGTGGGTCCTGCACTGCCTCCTCGAGCTGTTGATGACATGGGTGAGTTTTGCGTTTGATTTGTGCCCTCGTCCTAGGGCTAAGGAGGGAGTTGGGAAAGCACATGCTGGAAGTTTCTAGATCAACTAACATTAAAATCATAGCGGTGGTGGCTGACAGTATATTCGCAAACCTGAAAAATCCTATTAGGTCCCCCGTGGTTCTCAACCTCTTCCCGGTGCTTCTCAAGCTGGATTGGGCTAATGGACACAAAATTCAAAGAATTTCTTTCTCAGTTAACAGGAAAAAAGGGAGGCCGGCCCCCGCTCCCCGCGCCCTGCCTCCCGGCTTACTGTCTTCACAGCGTTCCCCACTTTGTGAAGCTGTGAAGATAGGAATGAATTTTTCTGGATTTGGGGCCCCCAATACTAGCTACCTGCTAGCTAGAAAAAGCCAACGACAAAATAAAGAGACACATAGCAAGTTAGTACGTTAGTTCAGATGAGAAAACTACAGAATGGGACTTTAAATATTTATATATATTGTTGCTTTTGAGAGACGGAAAACCTGTTTATGGAATATAGTCAGATTCTCCTCGTCGTTCTTGGTGTGTGTCATTTAATAAAATAGTGTAAATAGATCATGGTGAGAATCATGTGGTGGTTGACCATAACGTGTTTTTTTTAAAGATTGGGCTTGAGCTAACATCTGTTGCCAATCTTCTTCTTTTCTTGTTTTTTTGTTTCTTCTTCTCCGCAAAGCCTTCCAGTAGATAGTTGTATACTCTAATTGTAGGTCGTTCTGGCTCTGCTGTGTGGGACACCGCCTCAGCGTGGCTTGAGGAACAGTGCTAGGTCTGTGCCCAGGATCCGAACTGGCAAAACCCTGGGCTGCCAAAGTGGTTAAGCAGGACTTAACCCCTTGGCCACAGGGCTGGCCCCGTGCATAAGCTTTAGCTACACTTTTCCAGAGGGCTGACAGAAATCAAATATGGAAAATACTTTTCTTTTCTTTCTTTCTTTCTTTTTTTTTTTTTCCTGAGGAAGGTTGTCTCTGAGCTAATATCTGTGCCAGTCTGCTTCTATTTTGTATGTGGGACACCACCACAGTGTGGCTTCATGAGTGGTGTGTAGGTCCGCACCTGGGATCTGACCGCACGAACCCCAGAACCCCAAAGAAGACAGTATGAATTTAACCACTACGCCATCAGGCCAGCCCCTGTCATCCTACGTATTTTATTTGATATATTCAAAACATTCTGCGACAAGGTCCATAGGCTTCATGAAAAGCCAGAATGGCCTTGGCACAGAAAAGGGTTAGGAACCACTGGGGAGAGAGTGCCCTGGGGAGAGCCCACTTTATTTGTTTGTTTTTATTTTTTATTATGCTGACTTTCAGACATATCTCAAAGGGGACAGAAAGGTATAAAAAAGGCCCCCATGTACCCCCTACAGCTTCCAGGATGACTGACTCCAGCCAGTCTTGTATCTGAGCCCCCGTCTTTTCCCTCATTCCTACTTTCTTATGAATCAGATCCTGGACACTGTATTTCTTTACCTAAAAATATTTCAATAGGTGTCTCTAAAAGATAGGAGCTGCCTCCTATCCCTTTTAAAAAAATATGTGGTTATCGTGTCTTAAAAATGGCAACAAAGGCTTGGGCTGGCCATGTTGGCTAGGGGGGTCCCAGGGGGCCGCCCTGGGAAGAGCTGTCCCGTCCAGGCTGAGGTGGGAGGAGTTCCAGATAGAGGGACTCGAGGGGTAGCCAGGAGCTTGGTTTGTAGGGTTGGGGTGCCCGGGATCCAGGGAGAGAGGACAGAGGGAGGCCAATGCTGCGGCAGCGGGGGCCCGGACGGGGCAGGTTTTCTGCAGGTGTGTGGGGGGCACAGAGGGGGTCGAGAGCTGGGCTGTGGTCCAGCCCACCCTCTGTCCCTCTGCAGGGGACACGTGTGGCCGGAGGACCCCAGCGCAGCACACGCTGAAGCTCTTCCCGCCACTTTTTCTCTTCTCTCGCCGACAGGGGAGGATTTTTGAGAAGCTGAGAATCTGTTCTATGCCGGAATTTGTCCGTTTCGTGCATGATCTGCAGCCGCTAAAGAAGGACCCGGATGTCAGGGTCACCGACCTCCGCTACGGGACCATCCCTGTGAGGCTGTACCAGCCCAAGGCATCCTCCTGCACCCTCAGGCGCGGCATCGTGTTCTACCACGGCGGCGGCGGCATCCTGGGGAGCTTGAGTAAGAGTCCTTCCCTCCGACCTCCCAAACTCGGCGGGACAGCCCCAGAGCCGAGCTGGCGGACGCCCTCCCCGGCCCGGGGCGGCGCTCCATCCCTCCCGGGGCCGAGGAGCTGCTCTTACAATGGGAGCAGCAGGGCGGTTAGAGGTCCCAGGTCATTCAGGACCTAGAGATATGGAAGGCGCTGATCTTCTTCTGGAAGGAAAGAGATATATATACAGATAGATGGAATATGTCTACATATGTGTGTATCTGTGTATCTATGTATATATACACACATATGAAATTCACATAGCACCAAATGAATCAAAGTGTGCAATTCAGTGGCATTTAGTTCATTCACAATATTGTGCAGCCGCCCCCTCTGTTTGGTTGAGAATAAGGATTTTTTTAAAAGTGAAAATAATGAAAACACATCCTTTTGTTTCATATCTGGTATTGCCTGGGACAAATTCTGGTACATGCAGACAGGAGGACCAAAGATTAGAGGAAAATGAGTGAGAGAAAAAACTCAAAATGGAGATAATTTTATCATCTTGATTTTTCTCTCCTGTGAATTAGGGGAAAAGCCACCTTTCTGGTGCTTTCTAACCTGTGGAATGCCAGGGTCCCATTGCAGCAGGCTTTGAGAATAAGGGAGTTAGTGCAACTGTGGGGCTGTTTGGTCTGCCTAACGAGGGGTAGTAACAGCCAATATTTATTAATATGAGTCTTTCCATGACAGGCACCGTGGAAGCCCTCTGTGTGCACTGTCTCATTGAAACCCCCATCAGCCCTATTATTACCGTTGCCCCCATCTTACAGGCGAGGAAGTCAAGCCTCGGGGAGGTGAAAGGACTTGGCTGCACAACTTCAGCTCAAGCTGAAAGGGGCCAAGTCGGGATTTGAACTCGAGTCGGAGGCCAGAGCTCACATCCTGAGCAACTGCGCTCCATGGCCAAACAGCTTCTCAGATATTTCGGATGAACTGTAGACTCAGTTGGTGGCGGTGGCGGTGGCGGTGGCGGTGGCGGTGGCGGTGGGGCATTTTAGAGAAAGCTGTTCAGCCAGCACCGCGGAGGAGAAATAGCGAGAAGGTAGAGAGGCAGGCCGCTTGACAGCCCGGAGAAAACCTGCCAAATTTAGTGTGAATCCACCGGAGAGGTCTGTCTGTCGGGGTGGTCAGCGAGAAGGGGGCAGCTGATGGCGGCTGTGCAGGAAGCCCACCTGCCGTCCTAGTGAGTGTGAAAAACCTTTCATCTTCCAGACACTCACCATAGCATATGCTGTCATTTGTCCAAGGAGAGTGACGCCGTGCTTCTGGCAGTTGGGTGAGTAAAGGGAGGATGAGGGTCGGGAAGCCAGGAGCGCTGGAGGACCGGGCTGGGAGGCAGGACTCAGCGGCCAGCAGGGAGTTGGTGGGACCTCAGGAGCAGGGCATGGCCTGTGAGAAGCCAGCAAGGAGGAGAGGAAGGGAGATGGGGAGACAGACAGAGGCAGAGGACAGGTGCTCCTTCCTGCAGGGAGCCCTCGGGTATGTTCAAATGTGGGCGTTTCTTTTTTTTTTGAGTTCATAATAGTTTACATCAATGTGAAATTTCAGTTGTACATTATTTCTTGAGTGTCACCACATAAGTGCTCCCCTTCACCCCCTGTGCCCACCCCCCCCCTTCCCCTGGTAACCACTGAACGGTTTTCTTTGTCCAAGTACTTTACTTGTTTCTATTCCACATATGAGTGAAATCACCTGGTGTTTCTCTTGCTCAGTCTTGCTTATTTCGCTTACGATAATTCCCTCCAGGTTCATCCATGTTGTTGCAAATGGGATGAATTTGTCTTTTTTTCTGACTGAGTAGTATTCCATTGTATATGTATACCACATCTTCTTTATCCAATCATCGGTGGATGGGCACTTGGGTTGCTTCCATGTCTTGGCTATTGTGAATAGTGCTGCAATGAGCATAGGGGTGCATATGTGACTTTGGATTGTTGATTTCAAGTTGTTTGGGTAGATACCCAGTAGTGGGATAGCTGGGTCGTATGGTAGTTCTATTTTTAGTTTTTTGAGAAATCTCCATACTGTTTTCCATAGTGGCTGCAGCAGTTTGCATTCCCACCTGCAGTGTGTGAGGGTTCCCTTCTCTCCACACCCTCTCCAACATTTGTTATTTTTAGTCTTAGTGATTATAGCCATTTTAACAGGCGTAAGGTGGTATCTTAGTGTAGTTTGATTTGCATTTCCCTGATGGTTAGTGATGTTGAACATCTTTTCATGTGTTTATTGGCCACCTGTATATTTTCTTTGGAAAAATGTCTGTTCGTCTCCTCTGCCCATTGTTTGATCGGGTTGTCTGCTTTCTTATTGTTCGCTTGTGTGAGTACCTTCTATATTATGGAGATTAACCCCTTGTCTGATATATGATTTGCAAATATTTTCTCCCATTTGGTGGGTTGTCTCTTTGTTTTGATCCTAGTTTCTTTTGCCTTGCAGAAGCTCTTTAGTCTGATGAATTCCCACTTGTTTATTTTTTCTTTTGTTTCCCTTGTCTGAGAGGACATAGTATTTGAAAAGATCCTTTTTAGTTCGATGTCAAAGAGTGTATTACCAATATTATCTTCCAGTAGTTTTATAGTTTCAGGACTTATCTTCAAGTCTTTGATCCATTTTGAGTTTGTTTTTGTGTGTGGCATGAGATAATGGTCTATTTTCATTCTTTTGCATGTGGCTGTCCAGTTTTCCCAACACCATTTATTGAAGAGACTGTCTTTTCTCCATTGTATGTTCTTGGCACATTTGTCGAAGATTAGCTGTCGTAGATGTGTGGTTTTATGTCTGGGCTTTCAGTTCTGTTCCATTGATCTGTGTGCCTATTTTTGCCCCAGTACCATGCCGTTTTGGTTACTATGGCTTTGTAGTATGTTTTGAAGTCAGGGATGGTGATGCCTCCAGGTTTGTTCTTTTTTCTCAGGATTGCCTTAACAATTCTGGGTCTTTGGTTGCCCCATATGAATTTTAGGATTCTTTGCTCTATTTCCCTGAAGAATGTCATTGGGATTCTGATTGGGATTGCATTGAATCTGTAGACTGCTTTGGGTAGTATGGACATTTTAACTATGTTTATTCTTCCAAACCGCGTGCATGGAATGTCTTTCCATCTCTTTAAGTCATTATCAGTTTTTCTCAGTAATATCTTATAGTTTTCATTGTATAAGTCCTTCATTTCCTTGGTTAAACTTATTCCTAGGTACATTATTTTTTTCGTTGCGATTGTAAATGGAATTGTATTCTTGAGTTCTCTTTCTGTAAGTTCGTTACTGGAGTATAGAAAAGCAACTGATTTTTGTAAGTTGACTCTGTACCCTGCCACGTTACTGTAGTTGTTAATTATTTCTATTAGTTTTCCAATGGATTTTTAGGAATTTTCTTTATATAAGATCATGTCATCTGCAAACAGCGAGAGTTTCACTTCCTCACTCCCTATTTGGATTCCTTTTATTCCTTTCTCTTGCCTAATTGCTCTGGCCAAACCCTCCAGTACTGTGTTGAATAAGAGTGGTGACAGTGGGCATCCTTGTCTTATTTCTGTTCTCAGGGGGATGGCGTTCAGTTTTTGCCCATTGAGTTAGATGTTGGCTGTGGGTTTGTCATATATGGCCTTTATTGTGCTGAGGTAATTTCCTTCCATCCCCATTTTGTTAAGAGCTTTTATCATAAATGACTGTTGGATCTTGTCAAATGCTTTCTCTTTGTCTATTGAGATGATCATGTGGTTTTTATTCCTCAATTTGTTGATGTAGTGTATCACGTTGGTTGATTTGTGGATGTTGAACCACCCCTGTGTCCTTGGTATGAATCCCACTTGATCGTGATGTATCATCCTTTTGATGAATTACTGAATTCAGGTTGCCAAAATTTTGTTGAGAATTTTTGCATCTGTGTTCATCAGCGATATTGGCCTGTAGTTTTCCTTTTTTGTGCTGTCCTTGTCAGGCTTTGGTATCAGAGTGATGTTGACCTCACAGAATGTGTTAGGAAGTGTTCCATCCTCCCTAATTTTTTGGAATAGCTTGAAAAGGATAGGTATTAAAACCTCTCTGAAAGTTTGGTAGAATTCCTCAGGAAAGCCACCTGGTCCTGGGGTTTTATTCTTTGGGATGCTTTTGATTGCTGTTTCAATCTCTTTCCTTGTGATTGGTCTATTCAGATAGTCTGTTTCTTCTTGATTCAGCTTTGTGAGGTTGTAAGAGTGTAAGAATTTATCCATTCCTCTAGATTATCCATTTTGTTAGCATATAGTTTTTCGTAGTATTCTCTTATAATCTGTGGTATTTCTGTGGAGTCTGTTGTTATTTCTCCTCTTGCATTTCTGATTTTGGTTATTTGAGCTTTCTCTCTTTTTTTCTTTGTAAGTCTGGCTAGGGCTTTGTCAATTGTATTTATCTTCTCAAAGAACCAGCTCTTTGTTTCATTGATCCTTTCTACTGCCTTTTTTGTTTCAATAACATTTATTTCTGCTCTGATTTTTATTATTTCTCTCCTTCTGCTGACTTTGGTCTTTGTTTGTTCTTCTTTTTCTAATTCAGTTAGGTGTAATTTGAGATCATTTATTTGGGATTTTTCTTGTTTGTTAAAGTGTGCCTGTATTGCAATGAATTTCCCTCTTAATATGGCTTTTGCTGCATCCCATATGAGTTGGTATGGCATCTTACCATTTTCATACGTCTCCAGATATTTTTTGCTTTCTCCTTTAATTTCTTCAATGATCCATGGCTTGTTCAATAGCGTGTTGTTTAGTCTCCACATCTTTGTCCCTTTCTCAGCATTTTTCTTGTAGTTAATTTCTAGCTTTATAGCATTGTGATTGGAAAAGATGCTTGTTATTATTTCAATTTTCTTAAATTTATAGAGGTTTGCCTTGTTTCCCAACATATGGTCTATCCTTGAGAATGTTCTGTGTGCACTTGAGAAGAATGTGTATTCTGCTGTTTTTGGATGGAGTGTTCTATATATGTCTATTAAGTCCAGCTGGTTTAGCTTTTCATTTAATTCCACTGTTTCCTTGTTGATTTTCTGTCTGGATGATCTGTCAAATGATGTGAGTGGGGTGTTGAGGTCCCCTACTCTTATTGTGTTATTTTTGATATCTTTTCCTAGGTTTGTTAATAGTTGCTTTATGATCTTTGGTGCTCCTGTGTTGGGTGCATAGATATTTATAAACGTTATTTCTTCTTGATGAAGTGTCCCTTTGATCATTCTATATTGGCCCTCTATTTCTCTCTTTACCTGCCTTATCTTGAAGTCTACTTTGTCTGATATAAGCATTGTGACACCTGCTTTCTTTTGTTTGCCATTAGCTTGGAGTATCGTCTTCCACCCCTTCACTCTGAGCCTGTGTTTGTCATTGCAGCTGAGATGTGTTTCCTGGAGGCAACAAATTGTTAGATCTTGTTCTTTAATCCACCTCGCCACTCTGTGTCTTTTTATTGGAGAATTCAATCCTTTTACATTGAGGGTGATTATTGATGTATGAGGGCTTAATGCTGTCATTCTGTCACTTGTTTTCTGGTTTTCTTGCATTTCCTTTCTTTCTCGTCCTGTGTATTTTGGTCTACCCATTGACTTATGTGGTTTTTTTTTTTTTTTTTTTTTTTTTTTTTTTTTTAAAAGATTTTATTTTTTCCTTTTTCTCCCCAAAGCCCCCCGGTACATAGTTGTGTATTCTTCGTTGTGGGTTCTTCTAGTTGTGGCATGTGGGACGCTGCCTCAGCGTGGTCCGACGAGCAGTGCCATGTCCGCGCCCAGGATTCGAACTGACGAAACACTGGCCCGCCTGCAGCGGAGCGCGCGAACCCAACCACTCGGCCATGGGGCCAGCCCCATGACTTATGTGGTTTTTTATGATGTGTTTCTTTGTTTTCTCCTTATTTATTTTTTGTGTCTCTGTTCTGCATTTTAGGTTAGTGGTTACCCTGAGGTTTGTATTCAGAATCTTGTGTATAACATAGTCCATTTTCTGATGGCCTCTTATTTCCTTAATCTAAACTGATTCTGTCCCTTTCCTCCTCCCCTCCTAAGTTGTTTTTCTCATATCTTGTTCCAACCTGTGTTGTGAGTTTGTGGTTAAAGTGAGAAGACTGTCTTTGTTTTTGGTGTTTTCCTTCTGTTTAGCCTAATGCTATAGTTGAGTATTTGCTATCCTATTCTGAGTCTACCTATTTGTCTCCTTACTCTGTGTTTTGTGGCCCCTTTATCCTTTTTCTTCTTTGTTCAGATATGAGGGCCTTCTTGAGGATTTTTTCTAGGTGGGGGTCTTGTGGCTATGAAGTCCCT